TTTGTTTTTTTTATTATTTATTTTTATTATGCCTGCCCACTCCAAAAGACTCTGGGTGTCTTCCAACTTTAAAAACAGTAAAAAGAAGACCAGCCATAAAACAAAAAAATACACCACAACAGGGGCTGCACAGACACCCTAACCCCAGGTCTGGGAACACAGCTAGGTCTTAAGGGCCTTCCAGAATCCAAGAGAATATTGATAACTGAATTTGAGTAGCCTCAATCTGAGCTGTACCCCACTCTGTCTAAAGGCTGGCTGGGGAATTCTGGGAGCTGAAGTCCACACATCTTCAAGTGGCCAAGGTTGAGAAACACTGGCCTAAAGACTCTCAGCCAGCAAGAACACCATTGCTTTCAAAACAGAACAGATGGGCCTTCCAGCATGGCGCACATGTGGGTCTGTGGATTTCAGTGGGACCGCTCTTGGCTATAGACAGACAAACCCTGCCAGTGAGGCTGAAGGAAGACCTGATGGCAAAGGGAAATAAGAATTAACATTTGGAGTTTAATAATTCAAAGTTATTGTGTTGGGCTATCTCTTAGCTTCTTGGGTGAACTCCACCAGCATGGTTTGTAAATCACGGTTCATTCATTTCAGTTTATTTATTACGTTTTTAAGGCTTGGATGGTTATGGCTTAGAGTCCTCTTGAAACCTGGCAGTTGTCATTTATGGGGTAAACTGTAGTTAATGTATGGTTTATTGTAATCTGTGAACTAGGCCAGTGCAACCTTGATTAATACCAGCTTTGGTTTCTTGTGATACAGAGAGGAACTGACTAAATGGTGTTGTCTTTTTGTGAGCTGTGAGAAAGCCAGCGTCAGGTTTGCACAGGGCCAGGCCATTTGGCACCGTGGCTGGCCATCCAGAGCAATGCCGACTTTGCAGCTGGCCTTCTCCTGCTGGTCATGGCCACTTGCTAATGTCAAGATACGGATGCTGAGATGGTGCCAGTGTTGTAGCAGGGTTGCTGGAACCGCCCCCACTTAATTGAGCATTGCTGGTGGGAGAATGGGCATTAGGCAATCTACCAGCCCTTCAAGGTAGGCCAGGTCAGGACACAGGGCAGAAATTCCAGGAATGCTATTTTCTTGTTGTAGGGTGGAATATCTGCATCTTGAATGCCTGCCAGAGTTTCCTTCTGCCCCCACTTATACCAAAGAGAATCAAGAAGGGGTTATTCTGAGTTTCTTTCTCATGCCTTCCTCTTTCCCAGGACCGAGTTATCTTTTATTTTCCCTTAATGGCTCCTGCGTTCCTTCATCAAGGCGATCTCCACAACCTTCTACAAATGATCTGAACGAGAGCCACACAGAGGGGACAGGAGGGCAGGCGGTGGGACATCAAGGGGCAGAAGCTGAGGCAAAGTGGGCTGCCTGTCTGCTCTGGGCATTGGGCTGGTGCCAGTGAGAAAAGCTTCCTTGGGTGAGCCAGGAGGAATAGTGTGAAACGGGCAGGGCAGATGCCAAGGTGCTTCGCTCTGCTCCGATCAGAGACCCTGAAGGGGTGGCGTCTGGGCATGGGCCCAGTGGAACTGGAGCTTGGCAGCTCAGATGGGCTACTGGGAACCTGGCAGTCCAAGCCCCTGCCCACGCAGGTGGCAGGTCAGGACGATGCCCCAAGACCTCGAGTGGAGCAGAAAAGGACTTCTCATCCCTCGGTGGGTCCCTTTCATCTGGCAGGGCTCTTCTCCCACATCCCCCTGAGTTCAGGGAGTGCTTTCTTTATTAAGTCGTTACGCAGGACAGCCTTCCTCATCCATCCCTTCGCCGTCTGCCTGGGGGATGGATGTTGTAGTCCAGTGCAGCCGATGGGCACCAGGCTGAGAAAGGCTGGAAGAAGCATTTGCTTGTGGTCAGGACAGCTGCTGTCGTCCATTGTTCGCCAACCTGGCTGATTTGGAGGGGAATTGTGGGAGTTACAGCACAACGCATCTGTGGAAGACTGTCCCCTTGTGCCTGTGTAACCCTCTGCTTTTTGGTCAGGCGTGTTTGTGTGGGTTTCACCCCTGATCTTCTCATGTCTGTGATGAGAGGCTCTGATTCTGCCCTGGCCTCACACTCCAAGTCCCTGTTTTCCTCCTAGTGTCTCTCAACCTTGGCAACCCCCTTACCATTGGGGGCTCCCTCCCCCACCACACCCACCCCCCCCGAC